TAGGACCAGTTTGATATAACACAATTTCATAAAATGTATAATTAAATATGATAATTAAGGGGTTCCTGCTCCATCCCGCCATCAGTTTGGGGGTCCTTAGCCTGGAAAACACCTAAGACCCCTGCTCTAGATGAAATGTAGCAAGACATCGCACAAAGACTTAATAATAAAAAAAGTAAAGAAAAAAGAAACAGGGTAAAAGTTTATCCCTTGATATAATAAGTGAATCATTGATAAAACTGGGAAAAAGTTAAACAATTTCATTTTTAAATCACTGATTAAATAAAACTATAAAAACTAATAATGACATAGCTCCAATTTATTTATTCATTATAAATGTATATTGTTTTATGCCTTTGGTATAGGGGACATCAAAGGGGCCAAGATCAGTTCTGAAGGAGCATCGGCCCCCGTCAGCCCCTGTCTAGAATCACCCATGAGTTTACTGCCAGTTTGGATTTGGTTTATGCTTAAGTGCTGTGAGTGTTTGAGGATTTTAACCAATATCCAGCAATTGATTATCTTTGGAAAAATATTAGTTAACTAATATAACATCAGTTATTCCTACTGCAGCTGAAACAACCAAACAAACTGGGTAACATTTATTTAATTATTAATGCACAAATGTAATCAATGTAATAGCTCAGAATAAACATATAAACAACATGTGGTTTGGAAGGGGATTTCTGTTGAGCAAAACATGAAATGTTTCTGTTGTATCAGATGTACAACAAGGAGATATTGGCTAGTTAATCATTTGGGCTGTCTGCTCACATTGTAGACAGCCAGTGTTTTATCTGTAACTGCAGCCTAGACCTGGAAAAATGTAGAAAAAGATGAATTTATCTGTCAAGAAATCAAAACCTGCAGGGATCAGCAATAGATGGGGGCGTGGAGCCTGGTGCTAAACTTTACCCCACTCAGTCCATGCCAACACTCATTAGTTTGTCCGCTATCTGATTAAGAAGACTAAAACTGCAGGAATAGGAAGAAACATTTAAGTGTTTTTGAAACCAAAACGTTTTAAACTTTGGTTCCTAACTGGACAATTTAAAGGTACAGTTAAGGATTTCGGTGACTTCTTGAAGAGACCATCGCCACTTAAAAAAAAAATGCACATGCACAACCCTGTACCCGCTCCCCAGATGGGTTAAATGTTAAAATATGCGAGAATATGCACAAGCCCACTTCTCATGCACGCTCTGTTTAAAAGTTGCTGTTTGCATCGCTCATACAAGAGTACTTTCCAAAAACAGATTTGCAATTTTTTTACTATGTCAGACTCGCAGAGTGAACATGGGGACGAGCACGTAGGATGGCCTTATGTAAACATATCACCAGAATGATTGACAAAGAGAAGGACCACTTACTTTGATACTCCAACCGGAAAAAGAACCTCCTCCACTATACCTTTAAGGCTTTTAAAAAAGAATTATATATAAAAATGCTTTAAAATCATTTAAGATTAAATTTAAATTGTTTTTTTTTTATTAAATTCATCTTCTAACTTCCAAACTAAACACTATTAAAAGCAAAAAACAAAAACAAAAAAAAACAAAGCTGTACATCTGATTATTTTGTCCCTTTAAATGAGAAATGTGTGCCTACATTTGAATAATTAATGAGACTTTCTATAAATCCTTTAATTGCAAGTCCTTTTTAATTCAGGGCGAGTTAAAAACATTCTGCTTTCACTCTTTGGTTAAGCTGAACTGTCTTATTTTGTAGCAAAAACATATGTGCTAGTGTTTTATTTGGTAAGATTTTATCTATCCTGCCACAGAGATACAACAGGGGCAGAAGAATAACAGCTTCAAGAGAAACACAGATCTTTCACAACCTCCTGATTATTGCCTCTTTGTGAAGAGATAAACCCTCCTCCCCTACATGTTCCTATCATTTCCAAGCACATCCCAGTGAAACATTGTTTCCTATATCGCCCATAGGAGATTCACATTCAACTCAAAGACTGGCAAGAATGAAAACAGTCATTATTTCTGTCAAAGGCACAGATAATATAGGAGATAATATACATTTGAAAGACAAATTTGGGAGAAAATCCAAGCCGGGTCTGAATACAAACCTCGGGGGTAAATCCCAGGGTCCATGAAAGTGGCCATGCTGAAGTTGGCCAAGACGAAGAGGAAAACCAGGCCATTGTAGAGAGGCACAGCGGGGGAGATCACCTTCATCAACCAGGGACACCTGCAACACAAAAAAACCCAAAATGGTTAAACAAGAGGGAGTCTATCACACAGTTTTGGGGCAATCTGATATTCAAACAAAAAACCTTTAAGCTGTTTCTACCCCACCTTTATCTGCAGCTACTTCAGCATCTAAATCTGATGAGATATGTATTATTTAATGCCGTCTAATTTACACTCAGAGGCGTAAACGAACCACAAGATTTTGTCAAAAGCTCAACTTGTTGCAAAAACTATTAAAACCAACCTGTTAAAAAGGCAAATAATAATTTAGCTCATTCACAGCAAATAGTATTTCAGTATTTCCATTTACTATCTAAAGAAATACATGATCCAATCCCATTCTGTTACATACTTTCCATTTCATTCCTTGTTATTATTCTACGATACAGTTAGCTTTGGTTTAATATGTTGAAGATTAAAATCCCTTGAATTACGCTAGATGACTCATCGAATTATTGACTTTGCAGCAACTCTCAACCTGAGCAAGAATGACAAATAAATGCATTGAGCTTTTAACTTTACAGCAATCTTTATTAACAAACCGACTATTATGCAATTATCTTTTTTTAACATGCCAACTCCAAACCTCAAAGGTACTTGCAAAAAGCTTTACCATAATTTCACTAACTCTTAAAACTGTTACTTTAGCTCCAAGTTTTATCTCAACCCATAACTCCTCTCCTGTTTCCACAGACCTCATAAGCTGTGTTGAATTATTCAATGATATGGCTGCAGATAGCAGCTAAAGCAGAATACAGAGAGGCGCTAACTAAGGAGAGCTGGTCTCTGCACAGTCAGCCAGCTTTGGTCATCAGCTCATTTCTCTGATACCCATTTGTTTTCCATCTCTCAGTGTTTCTGTATTATCCTAGCTGAGTCAGCCCGCAAAGGCAGTTGTGACACCCGTTGCAACACATCTGTTAGAAAACTGGTAATAACCTCAAAAGCACATGTGTCAAACTCAAGGCCCGCAGGCCAGATGTGGCCCGCCATGTCATTTTATGTGGCGCGCTAGAAATCCCACAGCCGTCATTTTGATGGTTCTGAGATTTTAAAGGGAAAGAACTACATTTAAAATTAAATATATGTTGCTCATGTTAACTGACTTTTCCTGTTTCTATATTTCCTTCATTTTTACTTAGTTTTTCAAATAAAATTAAAACATAAAAAATAAATATGTTTAATTCTTCCTCGATCCCCCATAACCGTCATTTTGACGGCTCTATTAGTTGCATCGTAAATTCTTCCCGTGCTGATTGACGTTCTTTCGGTACCGTTGCCTAGCAACCAACATTCTACCTAGAACTTATTGGCTAATATGGAAAAAGTGGCGCTTAGATGAAACCTAACAGCGAAACAGGCTTTAGAAATGCTTCAAAATATCGATGATAGTGATTCGGGCGGAGAGGGAGAGACCGATGAGGAGGACTGGGTAGGAAGCGGCTGTGTGACACATGTGTGTTAGAGCAACAAGCAAGCATT